TAATATGCTTCCCGCTGGGATTAACTGCCAAAGAAACAGAGGCCACCTGTGAGGCAAATCCCCTAGGTTAACTCCTACCAGTCCTGGAGAAATTCGTGTCTTCCATCACATGCTGGTGGCTTCTGTGCAGGGGGCCTGTGACGTGTCGTGGTGGCTTTGTCCTTGACCCTTGAAGTGCCACAGATGGCCCCAAAGACTGAGCCCAGGGCCAGTGCCCCTGGGGGTGCTCTTCTCCACACTGGGAGCCCAGAGCTCCTGCTGCCCCACCTGAGCACCTTGCTTGGCCCTTTCCTCTGCAGAAACTCAAAGTGAAACTCAAACAATGGCTGCTAATCAATCAAAGGAGACCAAAAACCCTTAGAAAGCTCTCATGAGCCGATAGAGGATGGTGGAGGGGATGCAGACTGCCCCACAGCACCCAGCCATGGCCCATGTGCTACTGCTGGAGCTGCCTCCCTGAGACCTGGTGCTCCACTGCACGGCAGCTTGGGCGTTCCCAGGCGATGCCTTCAGCCTTCTGAAATCTCAAGGGGCTTTTGAAAAGTAATTATAGCCCTGGATTCTATTAATTTCCTTGGGGGATTTGTACCAGTACTGCTCACATTTGTATAGATCCCCATGCCCATAAGGGTTAGAAGCTCCAAAAGCAGGGAATGAAACTTCCAAAATGACTTAGATACCTAACTGTAATGAAGAGATTTTATTATATCCTACCTAGTTTCATCGAGGATGTTAACAACTATGCTGTGTAAACATTTATTTCTATTTTTAAAACAGAGGTTTTTAACCTACTTGACTCCCCTCCTCCCCTGTTGCCCTTTGCAGTCTTATTTTTCTCATCTTGAATAGCTAAAATGTACGACACCAGTTTTGATCTTGTGGTGATTTCAAAGTTTTCAAGGCAAATGATGGGAGGGAAGCCTGATATTAGTTTTAACTGGAGTTTTAAAATGGAATGGACAAATCTTCTCTTTTGCCTCTCTGAGTGTTACAAATGGCCCCGTATGCAGCAGAGAATTTCCTTCCTTCCTTCCTTCCTTCCTTCCTTCCTTCCTTCCTTCCTTCCTTCCTTCCTCCTTCCTTCCTTCCTCCTTCCTCCTTCCTTCCTTCCTTCTTCCTTCCTTCCTTCCTTCCTTCCTTCCTTCCTTTCCTTCCTTCCTTCCTTCCTTCCTTCCTTCCTTCCTTCCTTCCTTCCTTCCTTCTTCTTCCTTCCTTCCTTCTTCTTTCTTCTTTCTTTCTTTCTTCTTTCTTCTTTCTTTCTTTTCTTTCTTTCTTCTTTCTTTCTTTCTTTCTTTCTTTCTTTCTTTCTTTCTTCTTTCTCTTAGAGAGGTCACAGTGGGTGACCTTAAAATCAGAAGGCTGCAAAGTTTATTAACTTCATGGCTTCAGACTGGCCAACTGGTTGGCACATGGGAAAATAGCTAAATCGATACAAGAACTGTCACCTGGCTAGGAATCCCATTTTAACAGATTATCGACAAAATCTGTCATCTCACCTCTGAGATGGTAAGAACAGAAAAGGAGGAACAGGAGAGAGGAGAGGCAGGGCAGGCATGAGTAACGCATGAGTAATCCCTCCTGTTCCTCAAAGCGAAGCCACTTGCAAATGATGGGATGAGCAAGGAGACCTTTGCAGGTGTGAGTGGGGAAGGGATAGATCAAATGGTTCCCAGCACTCAAGGCTCAGTGGGCTGTGTCTGCAGCTGCTCTTCTGCTGCTCTTAGCCATACGGCACCTCAGAGATGTCCTCAGGTGGGCAGGTGGCTCTGCAAACCATCCATTCCTGATTTTGGTGGAGCAATTGCCATTTTTGCTCTGTTGTTTTTTTTTTTTTTGCCTGAGACCAAGGCAGTACACAATGCAGCATTTTGTTTGGGTGCTTCGGTTCAGCAAGGTTCTCCCTGCCAAAGTGAATTGTAGACCAGAACAGTTTGTATAGGAACTCTGGAACTTTCCAAGAAAAACTTAGTTCTGGACCAACATGACAAGGGAATTTGGTTATTGCCTTCCAGCAAAAGAAGTAAAATGCAAACAGTTCTTAAATGAAAAATGAAGGAGAAAACACAAAAGCATTTTCATCTCATATATGAGTTTCAATTGTTTAGCTCTTTTAACTCAGAACAGAAATAAACAAATCCAGCATTTGGGGGTTGCTATTGCCCCAGAGGCATGAGGAATATCTATCACTCCCTTTGTCCCTGAGCCACCGAGGCAGCATGACCCAGGTCAACCAACTGCCCTGCTCAGCAGCGCTCCTCACACCACAAGCAGGCGAGGAGAGTGTCACTTATTCCTTCAGTCACCCCAAGTGAGTGCTTAGCTGCCCCTCTAAGCCACCTTCTTTGATGACCACACCAAAACCTACCACAACCACAATCGATAGCAGGCCGCTCCGCTTGGTAAAGATATTTAGACCAGCCAAGGGTAGCATAACCCACAAAAGTGCAGCAAGCCATTGATGCTTGTGTTTTTCAGAATATATACACTCAGGGGAAGTCAAAGATTATTTTGCACTTTCTGCAGCTAAAGAAAACACCACAGCAATTTGCAACTCACACTGATTTATACTGACTGATTGGAGAAGCTACACACCGCACTTTCCCTCACGGTAACTGGTGGTTGGGTGGCATTAAACCCATCACAAGAAGCCCTTATCTGATGCTGCTGACTTTGCTTAGAGAGGAGCACACAGGGCTTTCAGGGTCAGCTGGTTCCTACTGCCCATCACAAGCTAGCTGAAATGATTTCCAGGACACGGGCAGAAAAATCAAGTCACAGGAGAAATTGCTGCTAGTAAATCATCTCTGCTGCCTGGCTGGCAGCTGATGGATAATAGTTATCATCAGAAAGAGTGACTGATAATCAATTTAAGAAATATGGACAACTTTTCAGAAAACAGCCTCAGAGCATTTTTTTTTTGTCATCTACTTGTTAGTTACAGAGTAATCTCTTAAGAAATTAGCGCTCAGGAAACATGGCAATCGAAGATGGAAACCACAACAGAACTGCAGAGTAGGTTTTTATATTTCTATTATACTATATTTTCAGTCCTGAAGTAGGGGCTAAAAAGTCTATGCAACTGCTCCTTTTCTTCTGTTGAGACTCAGACCTCCCCACAGGACAAGTAGGAAGTTTCCTAATCCATGTACAGGAAGAGGGAAACGTTTCACTTTCTCAGTTTCAGCCTACAACACAGTAGAATTAAGGATGCTGTTGTCCAAACTTTCCAGTGATTGCTGTGAACATTTTTAGGATGTGACAGGTTGTTCCCTGGTGACTTGGCTAGCTAGGAAATGTTTTAAGTGTTTCCTGATGTTCAGAGGCCACCTTCTGTATTTCAGTCTGTGGCCATTGTCCTGGCATTGTCCACCCTTGTCCTGGCATTGGCATACGCTTGGCTATCCTGAGAGCCTGGTTCCATCTTTTTAACAGCCCCCCTTCAGGTATTAGGTCCATGATGGTAACATGGTGGTGGTTTCTCTTTCTATCTGGGTACAATAATGATTCGAAGGGCAAATAAAATATCTATTAAATGTGTTCCTAAGGTGCCTTTCCATGGAAGTGATTGCTTAGAACTGGTGTAGGAAAATAATTCAGCAGGAAATGGTCTGTGTGGCTGTGAACAAGAACAGAGGCAGTAATCATTTCAAGTCTAGTAGTTAGAAAATAGGAGACTTTTTTTTTTTTAATAAAAAAAAAAAAAAGGCAGGGCTGCTGAGTTCTAGGTTGCTTCAGATGGGGAAACACTTCAGGAAAATGAAATTAAATACACACTAACCCAATAAATATATGAAACAGCCCTTTTGGAGATATTAAGAGAATTCCTGAATTTTTTGTACCAATTCAGCTATGAGGATGTCTCAGTATGAAGTCTGCTTTGCTTTAATAGGGGCAACAGGCACAACAACGGTTCAAACTCTGCCACAGTCTTGGTAATTTCTGAAGTGTTATTAAAAATGATGCTAAGGCTGGTAGGGGCAAAGCTTACATGTCCTGCCTCCTGACAAAATTATTTCTGAATTTTCATAATTAGTTTTTACAGAGCTAAGACCTGGATGAAAAAGGAAAAAAAATGAAGTTGTTTTAAAAAGGAAACTCTCAAAGAGTGGAGCTCTTCAAGCAAATCTGCTGATAGAACAGAAATATCTAGGGACCAGAAAGGTTGAGGTCTGTCTTGCAAACGAATTATCAGGGCTTTTGGTAGGATAATCATGAACAACTTTGCCTAAATGCTCTTCATCTACTATTAAACCCTATCAATGCAAAGCCTACTGCAGCACAGGATGGAGCAGATAACTCACAGACTTCAGTCCTGCAGTAACTAAAGCAGGGGTTGTCCCCTGAGATACATGGTACCCGGCCCTGCAAGGGAAGCATAATGTTTTCTCTTTATGGACCCTAAAACCCAGACAGTGCTAAGGAATATATCACAGTTGCTGCTATTTTTCATTCGAAGCCTAATGGACATTTGAATAGTCCTGACTTCATGAGGACAAACATCCCAAAATGCAGGCCAGTAACATCACCCCCTACAACTGGGAAAACAAGATGCAATAGAACTGACCCGTTAAAGATGACAAATTAACCAAACTATGTGTTCTCCCCAAGATGTTGCATATGGCCAGCCCAGCACAAGCACTAGTGCCAGCATACAGGAGGGAATAAGAGTGTGTACACCTGCACGTGTGTGTGCAGAGGGGCTCCAACTGCCTTCCGACCATACCCTGAATAACATGGAGATTTTTTGAGATGTTTTTGTCCAATTTTAAGTAATACTGTTTATGACACATAGACTGCATCAACAGTCTGCAGGATCAATCTTCTAGTTGCAAATTTTTCCAGCATCAAGCTGTGTCTAAGTACCCAAGTATTCATCCCATATACCCATATTACGCAGGAAAAGAACTTCCATAATGAAAAGCCATCAAGGTTTTCTGGTACACATCCAAAAAGGTGCTTCAGAATGCTCAACTTGACCTCTTTGCGGCCAGACACTGCGATTTTGCTTCAACCCAAGAATTTATTAAGACTTACATGAAAATATTCCATCTTAACATAGTACACATTGGTAGCATCTGAATACATATTTACAGATTTATTTGAACTTTTCTGAACTGCAATTCTACAACCGAGCAACATATCCATAAGTGTTTCATAAACTTTCAAACACTTACATATTTATACATATAGTTTTTGCATATATATATATAAAAATATTTTTGAGACTCAAGGACTGAGAATAGTCAAAAGGACATTATTGCTACATTTCCATATTTACAAAAACAATGCATAAAACCATTCAGAACACCAAGCCATTGCAAAATAAGTTTCAAAAATCCCCAAATTATAAAAATATAAATTTTAAGAACGAAAAAACCCAAACCTCTTTCAGCTAAGTGTCCATTAAGTACCGAGACATCTATAATTATAACAACTAGTTTGTCTACAGTTGCTCTGAAAGCCAACACACTACGAAAGAGCTTTTATAGCGTTAAACTGAAAATGCTCAACAACAAGTATGCATAAGAGTGCCTCCAAACAACTGGCTAACTTTGGAAAGGTGCAACAGCCTATGTAAGTTCAGTGCAAATGGCTACTTTTTGACTAACTCTGAAAGACAAATTCCTGTAACAATAAACCAAATGCACAGGTATATAAAGAGTGTGGTATTCAACATTACCTAAAATAGTGTGTGTATTTACAATTATCTTGCATTTGGGCAGTTAGTTACATATTTAAAATGCATGTAAACTCAACCAAACTCCTGGTAAAGTATAAGTTACAGAGTGCTTAAGTGCATTGTAAATAAATAGGTACTTAACTAGTACTCTGTCTCTGAAAAATGCTTCTCTCAATGCTAATTTCTAGGTGACAGAAACAAAGGTGAAAAAAAGAACCAGCAGTGTTTCTGATGGGAAGAGAAGGGGTTACAAGATACTTAAGCACAACAGATACTGACCCCAAAGCCTCGTATCTGTCAAACAAGACTGCACCCATTTAAAAATTCAGTGCTTCCCAGTTAAGCTCTTCTTCATTATGATCTCAGCACTGCTATAGAGATGGAAAGATGAAATGACTTGTCATGGGGGGAATAGCCCTTTCCAGTGAGCATTATCCAAGCTGGCCTGTGAGAAATATTCACCTGGGTATGACAAGATAAGCAAAGGGCCCCCAGGACAGAATTTTTTGCTTCTGCTCTTTCCAAGATAAGATGACTCGTTAAACTGCCTCTCCTCCCAACACACCATTTACTGTAAACGACCCTCTTCCTGTATTTTGACCATCTCAGCATGTCCCACCTATCTTTGGTGAACACTTTGGGACTCAGCTTTTATCAAGTATCTCATCCCTTTGGCTTCGGCTGTGGGGGATGCTCTGTGGTGGGATGTGACCCAGCACGGACAGGCCAGTGGGATATGGACCCACAGAAACCTAGTGACAAGTCTGCATGGCTGACAGCACAGGTAGGAAATGAAGACCGAGGTCCACACTCTTTTCCTTGCCACTGGTTCAAGCCCCAGTGCTTGAACACTAGTGTGTTTGCTGCTGTGCAGACCACCACGTCCTTTGGACGTACACCTCTCTTGCCCACGTACCCACAGACCCCTTGCTGGCCTCTGACCTGCAGTATCTGTCTGGGAAAGCTTCTCTGGCTTGGCTGGATGTGGAAAGGGGGCTGCAAAGCAGTTAGCTTTATACGTTTATTTCTTAAATTCAACAAAACAAGATTAACTAGAAAGTGACTCCATGCTTTCCAGGCATGGATCCAGAGAAGGATCGCTGCGGATTTGGTTTGATCTGTAGTCATCTCATTCCACACCATGGCTCAGGATTTCTTTTTTTTTTTTTCCTTCAGATCTGGCGCTCTACTGCAAATACACACAATATAGCAAATATATACAGCTTCAGTTAACATTGCAATGATGCCTGTAACCGTGCTCAACAGATTAAGTTTATGTGAAACAGTGTGTGGTAAAGAACAGTATTACAACAACATTTCAGCTACACAGTGGTAGTAGTGAGTAAAAGTAAGAGAAATTATTGAAGTCCTCCCTCTCTCACCCCCTGCACAATACAAACAGCGAGTACACCTGGGCTCCTCTTCTTCCAGGCACCATTCAAACATCTTCACGTACCAGGAGAGGCTGAGTAGATGAAGTACTGCTACCCACTGAGTTAATCCTCACGGAGTGATCTGTAGCATTTCCTTGACTGGAAGGTGGAGTTGAAAAGTTTGCATAGACCTGCAGAAGCCAAACACTGCTGTCAGTTCCCTGCAGATCGCTCTGTCCCTTCTTACCTGGAGAGCTCACCTTTGTGAGCCACTTCCCACTCTGCTACACCACCTGAGGAGCATCCAGCTCAGGTGTTTCTTTACAAATCTAAACACACAGTTTCAACGGGTCTTGGGCATAACAGTATTTTTAAGAGTCAGGAACCCCAGTCTCCATTACTAAAACCACTGCAACATACTGTATTTATTTATTTATTTATTATTACGTTTAGCAGCATACTAAATTTAAACTGAGCTTGAAAAAACACAGCTCTAGTTATTACTAGAATGCCCCCCAGAAACCTCGGTAATATTTTCTTCACATTCTTGTTTTTGTTTTGATAATGCCTGCACCTGCCAAAAATATGCTGCAGGATGCAATTGAACACCAGCAGCTTTCAGTTTCCTCTTTTCTCAAATTGTCAGGAAGCCATGCACTCTGTGCCCAAACAAGACATCTAGAAGGTAAAAGGAAGCTTTATTTTTAAACCACAGTTTAAACTTGCTTTTCTAAGACCCAGTTACACTCAGTGGTATTGTGAGAGAAAATCCAAGTCTCTGATGTGCCTCCACTTTTTCTTTGCACTGTTTTGTACAGTTACCTTCTAGACATGCTTTTACTAGGGAATGGCCAAAAAAATGGTGAATATACTTGTCACAACATACCTCACAGATTATGTAAATACAGCTATGTGAAATAAGAGGCTGAGGAGCAGCAAAAGCTCAATTCCTTCCTTTAGAAAGTTTTTCTAATTACAGCTAAATATACCTAATGTCTGAGATTTTTCCCAGATGAACAGATTTTCTCATAGTTTAAGAAAGATGAGTCTAAGCAGTAGCACTACGTTTTGTAAGATCAAAATTATTAAGTATATTTTGAGTGAGAAACATCAACCCTGTATAGAGTCTTCTCCAGCTGGTGGTCCCTGTTTCATGTACAGGCTTAGACACCTACTGCCTAACGACATGAGGAGGAAAAAGTGAGTAGCCCATACATCACTTCTATCACCCACACTTACAGTGCAGAGCTACATAAATAACGCTGGAAAATTAATGAAGGTTCTTTATTCTTCTGAGCTCTGGTCTAATGTCTTGTTTGAAACTACTTGGGCTCCATACGGATCATCAGTTTTTTGGAGTCAAAACTTACCCGGGGGGCACTATCTGAAAGCTGCTGTTCTATCAGCTGTACGATCTGTTTAAATGTGGGTCTCTGTAAAGGATCAGCATCCCAGCAACTCTTCATTATGTCATACCTGCAAAGACACTAAAATTAAGTACTGCTGATGAGGAAACCTGAGAGTTTTTATCTCACCTGCATTGTTATTTGACAGAAAAATGTGACCCATTTGCACAGTTAATGTTGTTTAAATGAGTTTTAAGAAAAGAAATAGCACTGCTAACGCTTGTGCTTATGACAACAAAGGAGTCAGTGCTAATGAGAGTCTCTGGACACAGTTTTCTTTGACAGCTTGCTAAGTACCAAGCCATTTACAACACAGTGAATTGGAGACAGCTCATGAAGAAGATAAGTAGTCAGTCCTCTTGCAGTCAGAAATACAGCACAAACGCAGACGCTGTACAGCGTCATGATACATCTCACTGACTGCTTCATCGGAATTAAAAATGTGTAATACATGCTGTGATCTGTCAATAAGTTACTGACATGGAGCAGATACCAAGACAAAGTGATCAGATGGTACAAGGCATGAGTACATTACATTGCTTGTAGCAATACTGACATACTACACTGGCTAGACTACATGAATTATTTAAAATGTTAAAGAACTTAAAAATAATTAAAAACAACAAACAAACAAACAAAACAACACAAAAAATGGTGCAGTACAAAGAGCCTTCATGCAAATGTGGAAGGTTCCCTTCCTTTGCACTGCTGCTTATGTGTGGTGACTGGAGGTACTGGTTGCTCACTTACATTTCAGGGGGTGCACACTCAGGGCTGAACATCCTGTATCCCTCCTTGATCATTTTATAGAACTTGGAGTCCACGGGCATCCCTGGATATGGGCTGCTGCCTGTTGGGAGAAGAGGTGAGCAATAGGGTTTCTACAAAACCAAGATGAAATGGAAGTCCCCTGAAGTACAGATTTTGACGGAGCTTACCTAAAGAGAAGAGTTCCCAAAGCAATATCCCATAAGACCAGACATCACTCTCAAAAGTGTAAACGCAGTTGAAAATACTCTCAGGTGCCATCCACTTCACAGGGAGACGAGCCTTTCCAGGGAAAAAGGATTAAATTAAGACAATGGTCATAAGGCATAAAAAAATTACAACATAAAATCAACTGTTTATACCTATTATGTGCTGTAAATACATGTTAATTCAATAGAAGAATCCAACCAAAAATGGAAATCCCTGGTTTTAGAGACTCCATGTGTTGCACTGTTGTTACTGATTCATCTCTCTATGGGTCTACCAAACTTGTGAAGTTCCCTGTATTCTGATTTTCTACACACTGTGCGATGGTTTATAGGGAATAGCAGGAAGTCAGAGGAAAATAATCCCTATGAACATGGCATGGTTTCTTATGCAAACACTCAAGTCTTCTGTGGACTAGCTACCTTAAATACAGTGCTTCAAGGCTTTAGTCAACAATTAAGACTGCTTAAGCTCTTTGATGTATGAGAAAAAAAAATAATGAAAAAAGAAAATTCACCTGATATAAATATATATTGACATATTTCATATGTTTCTGTGGGAACAGACAAAGTCTTTCCTCTCCCTACTTTGCCCTTTTCTTGTCTGACTCTGGGAGCCAGCCAGGCTTCTGTCCTAAGCATTTATCCTGCCCCAGCACGCCTTCATCTGGGTTAAGATCAGGCCAGATGCAAACAGATGCCTTCTGCGGCCACTGCTTCCTCTCTCCCAGGGCAGCTGCAGCCTATCCTCTTCTGACCCTTTCAGGCTAAGTAAAATCCTGTTGTCAGACTACTCAGGAAACGTAAAGTGTGGCCTAGACACGTAAAATTTAATTACTTACTGCCCACTTCCCGCCTAAGCTGCGGATCTGCACTTCCCACTCCTACCAGCCTTGACGGATCAAGCAGCTCCTGACCTGACCCTGAGCCTGAAAGCAGCTTTTGTACAATAAATGCCACTCAGTGTTTTGACAATACAGCCACGCCTGAATTATTTGGGTTCCCATTGTTCCTTAATCTCAACTTCTAGCCATCCAGGGGCTGGTACCAACTTTATTGTCAAAGACAAACACAAAAACATCTTTTCTCCCGGAGCCTACAGTGGGGATGCTGTATGTACCTGGGACATCAAGGGACTGCTGAGTGACAGCACAGCATCAGAGATATCCGAGATACCCGAGGGGCCATGAACAGAGAGGTTAACTGAGCTTGGTAAACTGATTCACTGAGACTTGTGGGATTTGCTCTCTTCATCAGTTATGAAGATACCAGACACCTGGATGGGCAACCTTCAGATCATGTCAAGTCCATAACAAGTGACTGACCCTTGACTGCTGAGCAGTCAGCTGGGATGGGGAGGACCTTCTTTTCTTTGAAAAAGGGTGCAAGTGTGAGATGCGTGTACCCTGAAGGCCTTAGATAGCTGCACATACCTGATGCAGACCTAAAACATTAATCCAGGCAAAAATCAGTTTCAGATGCAAAAGACCTCTACCTCATAGCATACTTCTCCAGTTTTAATCACAGACAGGCTTGATTTTCTTTTGTAGCAGGGCTCCTTTTACTACTCTTTAAAGGGGACTTCAAATACTGACAATGCAATCTGCATTGCTTCTAAGTGTCTGGTAGGTACTAGTATAATGGGTACTCTGCTGAATAGTTTGTTCAGAAGAGTTTGTCGTCTTGTACATTTCTTGTCTTGTACTATTACAGGATTTGACCTATAGCTGAGAGTTAAAGCTGTAGTTGTTATTCATATAGGGTTAAAATCTGTATATAGAATCAGAGAAAACTAAGGCTTTCTAACCTTTCACTATGCCCTAATCAATAAATTCAGACTTTAGAATCCCATTTCCATTGTCTGAGTAATGTTATATAGCAAAAACCAGGATGTAACCCCCTGAATATTTAGATATTTCAAACATAAACTATTTCAGTAACATATAAATACAGCAAGTTTCAAATCTTTTTTTTTTTTTAGGGTTGACCTGTCAGAATATTGCAGTAGTAAAATGTGCAATTAGTCACAGAGCTGTAACTTCTAGTATATTCATATGTAACAGAGAGATGGTGTGTTATACTTGTGCAGCAAAAACATCTCCTCCACCATGACATGCATTCAGATGTTTTTTTCCAGCATAACAACATGTATATATGAGGGCTTTTGTCAACACATGCATCTACATCAGCAATTGCCCCTTTTCACATTCCCGACCAGCACAAACCTAACAGCAGGATTGGGAAATCTAGATTTTGGTCTAATAAAGATTTTTTGCAAGTTGAGACAACAAGAAAGCCCCTAACTTAAAACAGGTGGATAAAGCATCACATATACTTACGTTTCCTTTGACCACATAATTTGAGTCATTCCTTATATCTCTTGCCAGGCCAAAGTCACAGATTTTTGTTATTCGACCATGAGTGAGAAGAATATTTCTTGCGGCCAGATCCCTATGAATGCACTAAACAACAAACAGACAAACAAACAAAGTTATTTTATAATATTCTTAACAGACTGTTGCTTGGTTACATGCTTTCTTAGCTATAAACTTACTACATTATGCATTTTGTAGCAAGCTGAAAGTCATAATGAATCCATATGTTAATAAGCGTACTCAAATGATTAAAAATTCTGGTGTAGTATGTTTACTATCATGACATTGATCCACACAGTTAAGGCTGCCTATGCATTTATTTATTTTAGAAAAGACCACCTGCAGTCACTTTGAATTTTCCAGCAATTCACATTTGCAGCTAAATATTAATGTACTTATTCTATGCCAGGGACATAATTTTTTCTCTGACTTTTTGATAAGAAGCAATTGGCCTGCTTCCTAACACGGGACAAATAAGAAGAAAATGTGGTTTGTCTCTAAAATAACTCCAGTCTTTTATTATGTGGCTATTGTGACTGAAGGGAAAGAGCTGAAAACAGGGAAAATTATGGTAAAGATTCAAAGCATACAAGTTAGAAAACTGAATCCCACTTCAAAAATCTCTGGAAAAAAGTTTTCCTATGGAAAACTTAAGGTATTAAGTACCTTGGAGAGTTTAATAAGCAGGCCTAAATATTTGATAATATTGTCAATCTTCACAGGCCAGTATCTTTCTACGAACGTCACATGTTTGATGACCTTGCTAGCTTATGTTCCAGCACTCATCTGAGAAGTGCGCACATGTTTGCAACTGCAGCTCCAGACGGGTGGCTGAGTTTTCCAGCAGTTGTATTTTCTTTGTGTGCAACCAGAGCCCATCTGTATTTCTTAGAGAATGGATGTATTTCTCTAATGAAATCATCTCTTTTTTCATCTAGAAGGGACAGTGCTAAGCTCCTGCTGTGCTGATGGTATACAATATGCAGGGAACGGCTGTCTAAAAAGTAGCTGAATTGTTCAATTTTTCTCTGCAATTTTTTCCTTGAAATATGAAACTTGTGGAATTCCCTACAAAAAAATATATATACTTAAAATATCAGGAGAGTTAAGCAAATCGAATTCAAAATGATAACTGCAAGTCACATAAGCAATGTAATCTCTGCCTCCTTGGCATGCTTACAGAAGGAAATATGTTTAATGACAATTAGTGTCCCTGGGGACTCTCATTGCATCCCAATCCCTATCTTCACTTCGCATACCTAAAGCTGAGAGCTTTAACTACACTGAAGCAGTAAAAGTGCTGGAATGCCCAAATGTCCAGCTTCTCTGCCTTTTTCCTCCAGAAGCAATACAGTTTGCCTTGAATACAGACTTTGTCTATGGGAGGAAGAAGCGTCTTGTGATCAAGGCACCGTGTGCTTGATAAGGGACTTACACCCCCAGGACAGACTCCTGTTCCTCCTCTCTCACAGAGGCACTTTTATTCCTCTGAGCCTGGATACAAAAACGAGTTGCAAAAAAGCAGCTGGGCACTCTGTGATGTTGGGCTGAGTGGACCATTCCCGAGGGCATGAGGCAATCTGAAGCATCTTACCCATCATCCCAAGCCACTCTGCATTCCCTAGCTGAAGCTAAGAGCCTCTACATACACAATGACTGAAGAGGACCAAGCACAGAAACTGTTAGCACAGTGTAACTTAATTGTGCGGTAAAGCCATTAATTCTGCACTGTCGAACAGATATTACATGTTACTTCCCAAGCTTATGGTGCTGTGGCGTAATATTCATTATCACTTCTGCTACTCAACTCCACAGTGTGTTTTTTTTATCAAGGGAAAAAATATAACAAAAACAATCACTGGGAACGATGCACAGTGAATCCTGGGGTTATTCTGGAGGAAAGTAAGAATAGAGAATAAATATGCGTGCTAAGCACTGGACGTCCTGAATAGTGCAGAATGCAGGAGTCTGGTAAAGACCATTAAAATCTGTAATGCAACATGTTTGTCTGTTGGGTTCGTTTTTAAGCTGGCAACAGATAGAAAAAAAAAAAAATACTTCTAAGGGTTTGTAAGGAGAAACAGGGGGGAAAAAATCAAGTTTTATTGTGGACTTGCTTTGGAACAGAATGAGAGACACATTTCCCACTATTAATGCAGGTTCACAGAATTACCATCAATTGCTCAAGAGTTATTTTGATTTTTTTTTCCTTTTTTTTTTCCCTTTATCCAAGGTGCACTTGTACGATCCTGTCACAATGTTTACATAGTGAATAGCATTTTTGAAGAATAACGTAGGAGATGCCATAGAAAGATCAGAATTATGCAGTGTTTAAAACCTGTATTCTTTATCAGACCCTTTCTGTTTTGCCATGCCTCTCCCAAGAAACCTGGAGAGTGCCTGTTATGCTTAGTGTAGCCAATGAAGATCATCTGTGGGTCTCTAGGCTGATTCTGTCTTTTTAAGAAAATTTAAAAAAGAAAAAAAAAACAACAAGATGTACCTTGTACATTAAGCCATAATGTTAAAAAAAAAAAAGTATACAGTGTGATAACTGCTCTGTTTAAGGCAGTATTCAGCGTGAGACATGGAAGTGCAGCTTTGTTTAAAACTGAACAGATACTCAAGGCGCTTTTATGCAAACAGATCAGCCATCTTCTCAATGTTCTTTAGTCTGTAAACTCTCCAGCAATGCCACAGAGAATAAATCTTAAACTCTCAAGATTTAATTGCTTTTGAGGATGTCCACATGTTAAGTTTTTCTGGTTCTTTCACGAGCTCCATCTAATTGCCGTACACCAGAGAAGCCTGAAAAACTAACTCCTCAAGGCTCACTCCTGCAGGTTTTGGTGTCTCCAAAGCTATCAAAAGTTTTCACTTAACTACCTGTGTGCTACAGAAAACAAGTGAAGAGATGAAGATCGAACCTGCAAGAATCACCTCCCAAGCTCGGATGAGTTCATCTGTTGTCTTCCAACACATGACATTAACTTACATTTTTAGAGGCAAGGAAGCTCATGCCCTTTGCCACCTGGTAAGAGAAGCTTAGTAGATCTTCAACATCTAGAGCAAGTTCATCATCTTCCAGCATGGAAAGGGTAACATCCTGATCAGTGTAGGATCCTACACAATATAAACATCAACAGCTTTTGAGCATACCAGGTATAATCATCTAGAAACAGTCTTCTGTTAAACAGATCAGCAATCTGAATAAGCACTACAACTAGAGCCACATAAACAGCTCAAAGCAAAATATAATAGTGACACTTCATTTAAGTGTGGAAAAATAGAAGACTGTAATTTAGCACATTGTTCTTTTTTAAGCCGTCTCATGTTTTTTTTAACTGTCCCCATCCACCAGAGAAGTAACATGAAAAAATCCATAAAGTCTTCTTCTCTACACTCCTAACAGCAATTTTTCACCACTGTACTCACCAGACTTTACTGGTCTTTTTTTATCAGCTTTTGGGGGGACTGCGTATGACACTCCTGGTTTCATGTCCATGTACTCATTGGCAGCATCACTGCAAAGGCAGCAGATGAAAAGAAATATAATTTAGGTAAAAAGACCTCAAAAGCAATCCAAACAGAAAGATAATTACACTGACCTTCTGAATACAATGCTTTAGAGATGATTACAAAAACATGGGCAGTAAAAAAGATGAGAAAAGACTTGTACAGAAAGAGAGGTTTATCAGTACAGATAGCAATGCATCAGGTAAGCAAACAAAACCTTTCCTATGTATACTACTTATATAGACTTCAGTCTCTATAAACTAATGACCCAGTGTTTCACAGGACCTGCTAGGACTTCCTTCTGCTTGGGCCAGTTTCTACTAGCATTTCAGCAACTGAAGTGGCAATTGAAATGCAGAAGACAAATGGTAAAAAATACCAAGTTCAGAGCTTCCTAAGTCTCCGAGTGGATTCACATGTATGTCAAAGAGTCAGCCAAGGCTTGGGAAAGTCATTTGCTATGTGTTTTTTTAAGTTTTCTTATCAATATATACATTGCAACTGTACTAATTTTCATACTGCATGGTTTATAAAGTTAGGCCCCTTTAGAAACGACAGATGCACTTTGGCATTTTTCACTTTCCTGCCATTAGAACTTATACCATAGTCCTTCTTTATCCTGAAGTATCTGCTTAGTTTATGGACAATAAGTACAGCCACATTGCTAACATGGAAAGTAGCTATGAGATCACTGACAGCTTTAGTCACCACCAAACCACAAACACATGTGAAACATTCAGCAGCTGCAACATTACTGTAAATACTAATCCAAGAATTTGGTAAATACCCCCTCATTAATACCTCAATTTACAAAATAAGCCCAAACAGTGATATCCCTGTACTAAGGAGAAGACAGACCTCCTCTATAGCAACTCATAGCTTTGTGTTCATGCTATCTGTGGTACCAACCTCCCTGGTATCACCATCTATCCATGCATTTATTGCCACAGCACAAACAGCTTCACTAGCACTATGCATTGCTGGGAAAAAAGGATTTTATCACCTCCTAAGGGGCTTCCTGGTTGCTTTGTGCCTGCCAACACAGAGTGATGGGCCCACTGGGGCAGTGAACAGACTAAAAATAAAAAATGGGCAGGTATTGTATCAGATCCTAGGTTCTGGAAACTTATGTCTCCCTCACTTTGCAAAAGGAAGGAGTTAGCAGGAAATATGCTTGGAAACGTACTCATAAAGAACTCGGGCTTGATCTAAAACTGAACTGCTAAAAATATACAGATGAAGTAACTGAAAAATAAAAGTACAAGAGCAATCTCTGACATGGGCTGGAGCATCACACAATCCAGTGAGCTACCAGGGGCAGCTTGCCTCTAACACTGTAAGGCACTGTTTTGGTTGTAGAAAGTCGTTTCTGAAGGCAGGAACTTGTGAGAACCCAGAATATTAACACCACAACACTGGGGGGATTGTTATTCAAGCTGCTAAATGAGCACTGCCAATGTTGAACACAGTAATGATAAACACAAATACATATGAAGATTGGAGCCAAGGAGCTGCATGAAATAACTACAGGAAATTTGATAAAGAAGTAAAACACAGAGTGTATACAATGAATTGAGCTCTGTTAGAATAAGCCACCCACTGTACAAATCATCTCTTTAACTAAATTGTTTCCTTACACAGCAAAGAATCTTCAAAGCCTGCTGCATGAAAGACTTCTCCCAGTTTTTCATCCCTAATGAACTTCGATATCCCCTCCTTCTCAATCTCCTGAAAACACAAGTACATTTCAGCAGGTCGCACTTACGCTGAGGGCTCTGCCTGCTGCAAAAGGTTCTCGTAAACAGCTGCGTGTTCTGTGTGTTCTTCATGTTTTGGACAAATAAACGAATCCCGCTTCCGCCTCAGAAAATTTAAGAGATCACCATAGCAGCAGTATTCTGTAATGACCAGTGTGGGTCCTGTAGATGTACGTGAGGTTGAGAAAGCAGGTGAGCATTGTCTTCAAGGCAGAAAACCTTACACAAAGACAGCATTCAGCTAAGCACACAGGCTGGTCTATCAAAGATCACACTGCCTAATGCTGTCTAGACTTGAAAAGTTACAGACAAGCAATCCAGCATCTTCCCTTTCACAGATTATTGTCCAGCTAAAGCTGTGTCACTCCCAATTAATTTTCACCCCCCTCAATAGTATAGCATTGTACAAAAAATTAAACAAATAAGTCTTTTTCTCTTTCTTCATGTGATAATGTGTCTGGCCAGACACATCTGTTTGATTTTGCTCACTTCCTGAAGGAAGTTATTTGTTCCAAACATTCGAGTAATTCAAGCTTCAAACATTAATCCTTTTGATTCACTTCTGTTTACAGTAGAGCTTCACACTCCTTCAGTAATGTTTTGGAAATGATGTAGAGTGTTATATTCCGCAGTATAATAGGAAAAATCATTCAAACAGAACAGCCTGCTGCGACAGAAAACTACACTGCACAAGGTCTTAGAATATTAAAATGAAATCGGAAAGGAGAATCAAGTCATCTCCAGCACGGATGTTTATAGATCAAATATATGTTTTCTGAGTGAATGACTGCAGCTATGGCCCCTGAATATGTAATCATGCTGCATGTTATTTCAACTGTAAGGTTATTCTGTACCACCATTTCCTAACCTCAATAGCTGATTTCCATTTTTCTGCAGTTCATAATTATAGCTTTACTAACAGTGAAAGCAGCGTTTGTGGTGGGATTTGCTCACAGACCCCACATTTCTTCAGCTGTCTGAGACAGATATGCATTCAGGCCAGTGATTCTGGTTTGCTGACTACTTGAAGTTGCTTCATCCTATTTTTAAATCATTAGAAGTGAAAGTGAGAAACACTTTGCCTTTGTCTAAAGCTATGAATTTTTACAAGCTCCTTTTCCTTGAAAAAAGGAAGCAAGATATGTTCTTACAGAACAAAGTTCTTACAGAAGAACTTACAGAAGAGCAAGTTCTTCTGTAAGGAACAACACCATTTTTCATACTCAAAAGCATATAAGTTAAAAATATGTGACAGCATCACTCAGTATTGACACTTCAGCTATTTTGTAGCTTTCATTATATATGAAAACAAATTTTTAAAAGTTTATTGTTTATATTTATTTTTAAAGTTATTGAATATAAAATACTTGGGTTGTGCAATGCTTCATTTTGGAAACTTTTTCTCAACTTTCGAGTACTTAAACTCCAGTGGTGCATTAACAGATACACTTGCATTCTATTTGAAAGACTAGAAGATCTGTTAAAAGACTTTTGACTTTTCAGTCAAAAGACTGGAAGACTCTACAAGGTATGGCTGCTGATTTCCCCCTGAATACCAGCAAGTTTTATCTTTTCCCGTTCCTGAGAAAGTGTGGTGGAGGAAAAAACCTTAAGTTATACGTTTTGTCACCTCTCAGCGAACTTCATTTTTAGCTGCAGCTACAGTGGTCTTGTCACTGTTAGCAGGATGAGCCTAAAACCTAGATTCAGGAATTCACAGATGATAGTCGTGATGATCTGCAACCTGCCTAAGGAAGACACGTATTTAAGATTTCTATACTTAGCAGCACTGAATTCATCTTTGTAAGGTTCTTCCTTCTGACAATAAAAAAGGAGTACAAATAATCAATATCCGCTGATAACCCTACCTCCAATAGTGCAAGCTCCAAGTAGATTCACGATATTAATGTGGTTACCAAGGTAACTGAGAACTTTTAGCTCTGACATCAAGGCTTCTCTTTCTGTTAAATGGGCGCTTGCTGCAAAGCAAAACGCAATGTTCAGTAAATAGCACACCTACCAGAAGGAAGTTAGAAAAAATTGGGCAGTGTACTACAGCAACTTACGTTTTAACATTTTTACTGCTACTGTCATTGCGGCATCAGATTTAAATAGACCGTAAGCAGTGGCTTCTACAACTTTTCCAAAAGCTCCAGCACCAAGGGTTTTGCCTAATAAAGAAAAAAAAAAAATCTTTACAAGAACTTGGAGCATTTCTTCCTGAAGGGTTCAGCATTTTATTTTATGATATTAGAGAAGATAGTGTATATACACCTGCTTGCTTTTTGTCCCCAGGTAAGCATGAGCAATTATCGCTATTTGCATTCCTGCACATCTTTTTGACAAAACCATGCTGTGTTTAACCGAAGTCTCATATGAGACTTGAAGGTTTCACCTTGCAGATGAAGTTAAATAAATATAAACTAACCAAAACTCAACCGGTTTCTAGGAAATTCCCATTTGTGATCATAAGGAAGCTGTGTTGGGTCTATGTAAACATAGTTGTTTCCATTTATTTCTTCAACAACTTTCCACTGAACTTCATATTTGGGTTTCTGAAAAGGAAAGAGAACGGCTGTCACTCCTGAAGCTTCCCCAGGCAGCTCCCACACTTTAACAACTCAGGCAGAGGAGCTGCTGATTTTACCTGCAAATATATGTACACCAGGATCATGACTATGATGCACATCAGTCCAGCAGCAACTCCAAATGCGATTAGTAAAGGTGTGAAAAGGGTATGGGTACGGATTTGCTCTGGAAAGAAACAGAGAAAATTCTGCTTGAATACCAAGCATAAGAAACTAAATTTAAAATAATCAGGTGAAAAAGCTTTCCTCGATTCTTTCTTATGAAACACAGTCTGGGGCTTCCATTTTCCCAGATGCACTCCATGTCCCTCAGAGCCACTTCTCCTGAATGACAGTGCTGGCCAGAACTGGCACAGAAACCACGCGGCGTGCTTCCTAAAGAGCCTCAGCTTCGCCAGCTCAGGAGGCACAACACTGAGATCAATTAAAGTGTGATTACAGTCAGCTTAGGGCACAGAAAGAAGCTTGTTAAGGGGACTTTTCCTAAGTCCTAATTTCTCTTCCTCTCTCTCCCCCCCCCCAACCCCAAGTGTGATCTCTACAACCTAGTCTTTAAAAGCAGATGTTGTACAGAGTAGTGAAAGAATACTGTTCTACCTCAAGTCTGGCTTATTTGTTTATATGTTGTATCTGGCTATAACAGGGAAAAAAAGAAGCAGCAGAACACGTGATTTTTTTTCCAAAGCAAGTAAAGATTTACAAACATATTTCAAGTCATCTGTGTTCTAGTGTGTTTTTTTTTTTTTTTCTTAACAAACCCACAAATACTGCTACAAAACTCATAAGGCACTTCTGCAGTACATTGCTGTTACTCCTTTTACAAAAGCAGGGCCCTTAGGCTCCAGTCAAGATTGGGACCACATTTTCCTGAGACGCGGTAAAAAACATATAAGAATGCAGACTTTTCTTGAAAGAGATGATGGCTAAAACAAAGACAGGAAGAGAAAAAGGGATAGAGAGAAGGCAGCCTGGTGCCATGCTGCAGGTGCTTTGCCCCTGTGCCAGATCATGCTGCAGAGGCAGGAGAAAACGGCTAACTACTGCTTGGTAGTTTTGAAGCAGCAAACATACAATACCAGAATATTAACTGAGAAGTGAAAGCAATACTTTGGCAGGCAGAACATGTACTGTAATATATTATCATATACTGAGCCACAGTACCATCTACATTATTATGGCAAAAGCAACGCACTTAAAAGATGAATTCTTGCATGACAGAAAGGGCTGAACAGCACCAGCATTAACCATTCTTTCATGTTCACTGCCTTGTTCACTCCAGACAATACCTTTAATAGCGAAGTTGAAGAAAGCAGAGCTCTTGTCACCATTGCTGGAAGCCTCGCAGCAGACGGTGCCAGTGCTCCTGAACATGCTGGCGTTAATGGTGCTCTCAACCAGGATCCGCTCGAAGGAAGGCACTGAGGAATTTGTGTAACTGATTTTCACGTCCATGGGGGATATTGTTGGTGAATCAAAATACCTGGGGAAAACAACAGTGACAATTACCTGCTGTGGACTGCTGCTTGGAATGAATGACAGGGCCTGCTGTGAAGGCAGATAGTTACAACCAGACCACCAGGTAATTATACCACACTACTCCACAAAGGGACTGAGATGGAGATCTTACCCTCAAAACCCAGCCTGCTCACAACTCTCCTTGTCTTCTATGTAGTGGATGAAACTTATAAAACAAGCTAAGTGGAAACCATGAGGTCTTTGCATTTGCTGTTGAGTAGGGAAACACACAGGTGTGTAAGTCCACCATGGGTTTTGTAACCATAAATTCTGCATCTCCAGTTTCAGCTTTAAGCAGTTGTGGTCCATCTCCTACTCTTGAACACTTTCCTCAGGCATTGCTTTATTACAGCACAAAAAAATCCATGAAAAACCCATGATGCACCTACAACACCACCAAGCTTATATGCAGCCAGTTTTGTTCTTTCAAGATGCTGCTAGTTAAACTAGTCAGAAGTCTGCATCCCTTTTTAAAAATTAATTGCAATGTTAACAATGTCACATATTCACTATATGAGCACACATTACAAAAATTAGGATAATTATTTTAGGCATAAAACAAATTATGCAGGTAGGAGACATGACTTGCTAGTATGAGATCTGCAAGCACAGTGGAAGTCAACAAAAATCTTAAAATGTGCTTCACAAATGCTCACTTCACAGTGAAACTGTACTGTCTTTTTAGAAGCATGGCAACTAGACATCAGGTTTTATTCATAATAACTCCAGACTTGTTTACTTGTCATATGCTTCATGTGAATAGAAATCTAATTACTTTATGTCTTGAAAAATTATATCATTACACAATAAGACGAAAGATAACAGCCATATTCACAAGTGATTCTGTGATTGTCATTCTGTGAAATTGCATTGAGAATGTGTGCCATTTGGGGCCAAACTGATAAAAACCTTAGCTAGCCTGCAACAGAGAGAAAATTTGGCTTTTATTTTTCCTCAGCAGAAAATGTTGATTATTCCCTCTTCAACGTTGGAATACAAAGGGGAGTAATGAAATGTACTGCTCCCTTCCCCTCAAACCACTGCAAATAATGCAATACCTAAAATGATGAAAACAGTGATGCAATGTAACAGTTACCAAGTAATTTTTAAAGTCCTAATTTTTAATTATAAGTTGTGTATGTGGCATGTAGAGTCATTTCTGGAAGCTCTGATTACTTAACTCACCTCTGCTCAGTTCCTTGGCAAAAATACCAGTATATGGTAGGGGCTGGGAACCCAGCTGCTACACACTGGAGAACGCCATTGCTGAGAATATCCAAAGTGAGAATCTCTGGTTTTGCTGCAACAAACACAAACGAGAGTCACATTTTTATGGGAACACAGAATTTGAGATGCCACGTGCTCATCACCCTAGCAACTTGTGTGCATTATCACCCACGGAGTCAGGTGAACTGAGCTTCCCACGGCAAAGGGCATCCAGGCCTGAACTGGTGTTCTGTGTCACTGGGAAAATTTCAGTTCTTACACTGAATGCATGGGCTGGATTTCAGAACACCTAACCTCCACCATGCATTGGGGTTGATGAAAGATCCTGAAACAGCAGAGCCCAGAGTTTAAGAAAACAAAGACGCATTTGTTTTGGAACAAGAAGGCAGTTCCAGTTCCTGCAGAGGATGACTTTACCAGCCTCTAAAAAGACAGTTTGTCCACAGTTGTACTAAATGGGTCAAACCGCATCTCTTCTGCGTCTGCTCTCTTTATCAAATATTACCAGCACAGCCCGAAAAGGAACTGCAGTGCAATGCAACCAGTACCTGTCCCCGTCCCCACAGAAGGCATCCCAGTAAAACACCAATACCAAAATGCCCAACCGGCTCACTTTCTGAAATGCTGCATGTAGAGAAAGCTCATATTTGACTGACTACATTAGCTGTCCAAGCAATAATTCATGATTGCTGTGGTAGTTTACGAAGCTGCCTGGTTCCTCATGCCATGATGCTGCCTTCAGGCCACGACAACATCTACTTGGTTCTGGCAAATATTAGAAAGGTGTATTTCTTGGGAAACTTGAATTAGAAGCTTTATCTCCCATAGCTATCTTAGCTTCCTTGCAAATTATGTTAAAAATAAAGTTAATGGTAAAACCAGAGTGTATTCCAAAGATGTTGCTCACCTGGTACAAATTAATAGCCCATTATTAGTTAATAAAACTTTACAAAATATAAGATGAACTTCTAATGTTCTAGAAAGTTGCGAGGTTGTATTGATGACAGTGGAAGACAGATGATTTATTTCAGATAAAATCCACACGCAAAGACTGCATGGTGTTAGTTTTTAATGAATATTCTACTCACTGATTAAATTAGAGGCAATAAAACACACGTATACTCTCAATCACGTAGCATCTCCTCATGACTCATGTTACAGGAACCGAATGTTCTTTCGTTTCTAAATCCAAATGTTGTGTTTTATGCAAACCACCCAGAACCGAACATTGTTGCAAAATGTTGAGATGGGTTTTCAACATTACTCATTTGGTGCAGAACTTTCTGATAGCACGCAGCATCGTACACAGTTTTAGCATTCAGGGAATATACATAATTCAGCTTTCTGAAGCTTCTACCAACATGGTTAAATTGTGAAATTGTAATTAGCCATGTGCAAACAGTTTGTTTAGGTATACGCTATGTGTTAGGCAACGTTACAACATGATAAAACTCTGGCTGTGCGTCTGTCCCAGCACCTGTAGCACTTTCTTAAAAATGTCTTGAACCTCTAATCCCGCTGGGTTTATGAATTGCTTTTCAGCTCTTATTAATGTTGATTCTGAATGCAGCAAAGACTCATAAGAGGTCATTTCTGTTTTAACTCAGTGCTCTGTATGACAACATAGTGGAATCAATTGCTTTTTATTACCAACTTCTTCATCATTTAGCACAGAGAAATAAATGTCTACAAAATAACATTTAACAGGTATTGTCTATTATCACAGCCAGAGAGCTTTCCTCCTGCAGTCACATTTTCTGGACTGGATTGAATCTTTTTGTAGTATCATGGTGACTCCTTGTTTGCTCACTGCATATTGCAATGACAAGAAAAATGTTGATCTTGGTTTCACGTGATCTCTAGTGCCATGACCAGTTTTCTCCTTGCAGCATGAGTCCCAACCGCACAGATAGTATTTTGTTGACTATAATTAAATCCAGATATTATTTTGCACTAAATGCAGAGATACAAGTTTGAAGATTCCTCCACTAATTGCTAGATGCACAGTATCTTGCCACTCTGGAGATTTCTACAATTTCTTAATTGTAACTCAGTTCAGCATGCTGCTTGTCAAGTTGTAATTTTCTTTTTGGCTCCTAATGTCAGAGCTCCTTCCTTCCCTACTTTATGTCACACTTACTATGACTGACTACATTTTATTTTAGCAATTTAGTATTGTTTCAGATTAGCATATGCGATTGCTAAATGTGTTTAAATGAAAAGCAACTATTTCTGCACAGGGTTTTTCATGTCTTTCAGCAAATGCTTCAGCATCGATTTGTGTTTACGTGAAGATATCCTCCTGATTATGAATCCTGTTTTACCTGTTTGATTGCTTTCTGCTGATTACATGCCCGAGCCAGACTTGTAAACACCAGAAGCTAGATCGCAGCTTATGCAAAATCCCAACTGACAACAATGCCAGGTCACAACACATGATTAGACCAGTACCTGGCCCACCCACACGACTCTCCTGTGGTAGTTACTCTATTTCAAAAAAGATGTTATATTGCTGTGCAGTTTGGGTTCCATACCTGAACAATGAGCGTTTTACATGCTACTGAAAACAGGAGGTTATTTTTCCTAAAAAATGAACCCTCAGAAGAATCAATCTGTTTCATCTCCTCTTTTCAAAATGAAAAAGATATTTGCAGTAGTTGCATCAAAATGCCAAAAGAAACTCTTTCTGAGTCAAGTGTATCAAATCTGTTTCAGCAGTGTCTGTAGTCAGCCACGGCCACACTGAATGGTAAACAGGGCTCTACTGAGATGGCTTCAATGCCCTCATTGTATCCCAAGGCTGATCTTACTGCTTACAAGACCAGTAGCTGAAGCAAGGAAGGAGACCTAAACGCTGATGGTTGCACAGACAAGCCATTCAGAAGAACTACATCACAAACATTCTCTCCTGCCACTGCCATACTGATTCACGGTGTTGCTCCTAGCCTGGTTTCCTAGCCACGACCCACAGGGCTTTCAGCCTTTTATCAAGTAGGAGATTCCTCAAAAGCAGCAGCAGCATGGAGCTCTGCACTGAGAACTGACAGCTGATGGTGACGAACCTGTATTTTTTTATTTTTTTAAATGGTATTTTGCCCAGACTGCTCCTGAGTAGCCTGAAGAGCCCACAGCCCTTTGCTCCAAGCACGTGTATGATGCCACTGATTGGAACACATCATCCAGCCTCAAGGGAACTGATGGCTTCATGGGCAGCCTGCAATTTCTTCCATTCCTGCACAGAAACTAAACTTCTTGCTCAGCACCATGCTCAACTATGCTGTACAATAGTAGAATTCCCCCTTGTGACTATGACCCACTCCTACCCAAGGTGGCAAAGGATATTTGAAGTTGCCAGCACCCTCAACTCAGAAATCATAGCTAGGGAACTGAAATGTACAACACCACAAATGACATTCATAGAGAAAAAGAAATGCCATGTTCTAAAAGGAGCCCAAGTGGCATTTCTAGACCCAAACTACAGCATTGCAAATATTGACACTACAAATGTTGAACTTCAATGATAATTAGGCAGAATTCAGAAAGTAGTATCCAGAATTTTATGCATTTGTGAAGTCTCAATGGTCCTCTGCATCAGCCCATGCCCAGAGAAGGATCTATTACTGCTAAAGCACTTCAATGGCGTATTTGCAGCACATCCACTCATTTCCTACATATTTCATTGTCCTAGGCTTGAAAGCACCACTGTCTACCTTGCCTTAGTTTCTCCTCTTTGCCCTCAGTCCCCTCCTTAAGCTTTGCCTTTAGTAGCTGCCAATATTTGTCTGCTGAGAGTGTGAAATTCTCTGACAGGATGGTTCTGCTACGAAGGATGGAGTTTCCTGGACGTTTCATTTAATTCATTCTGAAGTTCAGCTTTTGTCCTGAAGAATGCTTCTTGGAACTGAGACCGATGCTTTTTATTTTTTTACAAGCATATAAAGACGACAGCATGTGCGTTTGTAAAGCTACACAGATTTCTCTAAAACAATGGAGATGTATATTATTATGCAGATGTATTTAGATACCAAAAGGCACAAGTGAATAATTCTTCTGTCAAGTTTTCAAACTTCACATCCAACTCAAACAATTTAAAGAAAATTAATAGCTTATCTTGGCTGCCAAAAATGCAAATTATATGTATACATATAAACTCTGTATATCCTGATCCATGTTACATTATCAAAGTTTTATGGTCCATGCTCATTTCTGAGACCATCTTTCCAGGTGTTATAGTTTTTTTCCTGTGTAAACTATCTATCTGCTCTCCAGTAACCTCTGGAATACATTTGCCAGAATGTAAGGTCATGCTGGATTGTAGGTGGATTTGTGTAAGTACTCTGCACTTTTATATCTTGACATTTAAATAGTTTTGCAGCATGTGCTTCACTTCAGAAAGCCTCTCATATGCTGAACCACACTGTGACATCTTGTGCATACATTATGTTGTATAAAATACAATGACTGTGATAATGAAATATTTCAGACTGTTCACTTTACTTACTCTTCACATAGACATTAAATGTTACAGAGGAGCTGGCATCTGAATTGGACACAAAAAATGTGTAAATGCCTCCCTCTGTTCCTTTTAATCGTGTAAGGTGAAGTTCACTTGTATAACTGTAAAGAAAAAGAAATCATTAGTGATGCTCACAACCTAAAGTCAATGGGGAATTGACAGGGAATTGTTGCACAAAAAGCTAAGGTGGGAATTATTAGTGAACTCTTTTCTCCTGCCTACACCATCCATACAGACACACTTACAATGAATTATCATCCCTTTTGCCCCTAGCACTCAAGACTACTTTTTTTTTTTCCCCATGAGATTTTTGGAGGACCAGGACTCCAGAAAGAAACAGTGCATGGCAGAAATAAAAGCATAAACTTTTGTCCGGAGCATTGTGCTCAACTGTGGTGGTGGAGGGTGTCTCCACACACAAACTTTTAATTCCCCAACTTATTGAGCAACAATGATATCTCGTAGGTGAGTTGTGAGGCAGACTGGTCTCTCAGAGGGTGTGCTTAACTCAACACTGCTTCATACCCAGGGTAGCAAGACTTCACACCCATTACTGTGGTAAGCCACGTGTAAGGCAAGACCTTTTAAAACACAATTTTCTTGCCATCTACATTTTCATATTTCCAGAACAGACTCTAGTTTGCTGTTTCAAAGGGAAATTGATAGCACTTAAAGCCATTCTTATTACCTGTTATTGCCCACAGTCTTGAACTTGACATAATGGTCCGATGAATTCTGCAGTGTTTCATTCATGTACATCCAGACTTCTTCCTTCGGTTTTGGATATGCCTCATATTCAACTGTTAAATTTCCATTTTGTCCTGCATTTATATCTATTGTGGTATTCATTGTTGCAAGCAAACGGACAAATCCTTTAGCTGATGGTCATAATAGGAAAAGAAAAACAATTTCAGGGCCATTTAGGAGATTGCCACTACTCTAACCACACTTACGCTACTTCAAGATCAGTGATCAAATGTCCAACTGTGAAACGGGAAACCTTATCTACAAAGCAGAACTTCAACCTTCACCTGCTAAAACCAAGACCACTAGCTATATATAGCAATGAGGCACACAACTTAAAGCAGTCTTGTATGCTTTAACAGAAAGAATTCCATCTCCTGGTGATAAATACCCTTTATTTGCTCTTGGAAAAATGCAAGCACATGCTTGATTCTACTCAAGTGTTTACATTTTTCAAAAAATCAGTCACTAACTTTATGGAATGGAAGAAACAGTAAAAAAGGCAAGATAAATTGATCATTTATGACAATATAGTACAGTATTTAATGATTCTTTGTCAAGTATAATTAAGGACGACGTTACAAATGAAGCTATTAAAAACTGTAATTAGAGAAAAATGTACTACGTCGAAAGGCCTGGATAGCGATTGTCTTAAACTAAGGCATTTCTGTTCATCTACTGCTGGGTCTTAATCTTTTCTTTGGCAGATACCATTTATCACTGGGTAGTTCTGTTCCAGAGTATCATGTGGAGCAGCAGCATCCTTACTGCAGTGGCTTTAATTTCATTAATAAACTCGTCAGCTTCAGGATTATTCACTTTGAAAGACAAATTTTTCAGTCCTTTTACAAAAATTCATGTGGGAATTACCAGTTTGACAGACAGACTACAATGACAAGGAAACATATTTCCTGGGAATGCTTGAATTTAGCCCCCAAATCAATCTCAGATCTCTGCCTCTCTCCACTTTCCAGTGATCAAACTGCTGTGGCCAGCTGGGCACCTGAGCTCATGAAAACAGAAGGCAACGGGCCTTGGTGAAAGCATATGGAGCTGACAGAGCACTTGACAGATGCTTCCGAGAAGAAAGGAAGACATACACTCATATCATAGCAAGCAGGTATGATACAAAGTATGCTCTATTGTCAAAAAGGAAAAAAAGAAAAGGTTTTAAATCTGGAAATTTAAGATTTTTAGTCCCTTTGAGACCTTTTTTCTATTTTCTGTGCAAGCACAGTGTCGCCTATGCAACCCATATTCAAAACTATGCCCAAGAGAGTGCAAAAAACCTTTTTATAATCATGCTGTCAATGCCCAAAACAAAGTTCTATAAACAGTTTATAGTTAGATAAACCATTTTTTATAAAAGTAACTAAAACATTCACCAAAATACCACTATTTCTTAGAAATCTTTTTGCTAACATTAAAGCCGCAGTGATTTAGATTCTGATACAATCCAGTATGTTCTATACACCACTTCCCATGATCCTGGGAGCTGGCACGGTTTAGATAAATATAGTCAACTTGACAATGAACGGTGAAAGGAATCCAGGAGACAGAGTTTATTTTATTTTAGGTCAAATTTGAGAGGGTGAGGGGAGAGAAGTATCTTGAAAATGAAATATTCCAGCTTTTCTCTGGCTTTTTTTTTTTTTTTTTTTTTTTTTTTTACTAAGTACAAACTGTTTTTTACTAAATACAAACTTGTTGCTTTATTTTTTTACATTTTATAATGCTGTGCTTTATTTTACTCACATGACTTTCCAAAGTCAACCCTTTTTAAAACCACATTTGCATGTGCAGTAGTCTTTAGAATTCCTCTAGTTAAGAACTTCCCTCCTTTTATAATAAAAGCTTTCACATTATTCTCCTTGGGGAAAAGATTTTCTTTCATACTTAACACTGTTTCACTCTTTGACATATGAATCTAATCTCTTTAGTAAAAAAAAAAAAAAAAAATTAGGAAAACACGTTAAGAGCCCTACCCCCTCAAATGTTGTAGCAAGGTTAAGTGCACTCAAACCTCCTCAGCTATGCTGGAGATTTGACCCACAGAGATCAAGTGCTTCTGTTTTCTTTAAGTTATTGGGAAAGCAAAACAGCCTATAGTGCAGGGGTATTTGTGCACCAGAAAAGCAAATTTGGTAAGGAAGAGAATACAAGGCCTGGCACGCAAAGAACAGAGCAGTCTCAGTTGTCCTCGGTTGCTATATCCTTGAAAGGTGAGGAATTTAAAGTATTTTAGCAAACTACCCAGACTCGGTCAGAATTATCAAGCATATGTCCTTAATTAGACTATCAAATTAGCACTTTTGGCAGCCATAAAAATTCAAAGGCCTGGTGTATCATACACACTAACATACAGCAGCTGAGATCTACATGAGTCCGTTATTAAACCAGGAGAGGAGGCGACTTCGCTCACTGTTGAGAGACATTATCCCAAGCCTAAGGAAGTGATGGATGGTGGATTTACAATGGTGGCGAGCTCCAAAGCAATTTTCGTGCTGCCTATGCACACTTCAGTGTTCCTCATTGCATTATTTTAAATAGAGATACATATATAACTTCTCCCACGTAAAAAAACATTGACGTGCCGATGTCAGCGAAATTTCCAGCGCTTGGAAGGCAGGTACTGAAGATACGCTTTGTGCTTGTGCTGCCAAATTACTAAAGCGTAGGGATAGTACCACGCAAAGGTAAATTACTTGCTTCATTAAGACTGGATTAAATTTAAAATTAAACCAGAAAGGATGAGAAAAACCAGAGAGATGGAAACAGTGTTGGGTGGTTGTTCTAATACCGCAATCCAATCACATGCAAAGTGCTACAGAAATTAAAGTAGTCGCACACTCCATAGCCCTTCCTGAACCATTTCAGTATGATACCAGTCTGCAGTAACCTTTTAATAAAGCAATTTACTCATTCAGGTTTGGGGGAAAGGAGATAGAAGGAAGGGAGAGCTAGGTATCTTAAGATTTCTATGAGAACTATTTACCTAATGCTTTCAAGGTTACCGTGGCATTGGTTTTTCCAAAAGGGTTTTCTGCTTGGCATGTGAATTCTCCAGAATCATTAACTCCCACTGAACGGATGTTCAATGTTAATTTCCTTTCGTATCCATAATCACCCAAATTTCTGCTTTTGCTTGTAACAATCTGTCGGTAAAAAACAATTAACATCTAAAACACTGTGTATGCAGCATCTTTCCTCGATAAATTAAAAATAGAAGTAATTATAACTTCGCTATATTAATATTCATAACTTTAAACCAGAATAATAAGCCATCACGACAAACCTGTCACTAGAATCTCTCCATGCAAAACAAGTGTGTGATCAGCTGTCTTTGAGAGATAATACTTCCTCAAGTACTAGTCCTTTTCTTCATTCTTTCTTTTTTTCCCGAACTGCACTGTAAGGCACCCTTCTGCTGCATTTCACTAGCTGCATTTCACTAGGTAAACTGCCCAGGTTCCCACCCGATGTTTTGAGGCAGAAAGTGCTTTCAGCTCCAAAAAGATCCAAGGAGCCCCAAGGGCACACAGCACCTTGTAGTCACATTCCTCCCTCCTCAGGCAAGAACAAGTGTTTTCACCTGCCCCAAAAGCAGACCAGTCCAAAATACAAAGCTGACCCACAAATATCTTCAAATATTTCAGTCCTGTGGAAAGAAGGGTGTTGTGCCTGCAGCCAGATTCAGCTCACTCTGAACTTCTAATGCCAATGATGATGAGGACCAACAGAAGGTTTTGTTTGCACTAACATTCTTAGAATCATAGAATCACTGAATAGTTTGGGTTGGAAGAGACCTTAAAGATCATCCAGTTCCAACCCCCAACCATGGGCAGGGACACCTCCCACCAGACCAGGTTGCCCAAAGCCCCATCTAACCTGGTCTTGAACACTGCCAAGGATGGGGCATCCACAGCTCTGGGCAACCTGTGCCAGGGCCTCACCACCCTCACAGTAAAGAATTTATTCCTTATATCTAACCTAAATCTACCCATTTGTTTAATTTAAAGCCACTGTGCCTTGACCTGTCACCACACTGTCTAATCAAGAGTCCCTTCCCATCTTTCTTTTAGGCCCCCTTTAGGTACTGGAAGGCTGCTATAAGGTTCCCCAGCTCTCTCAGCTTGTCTTCATCAGAGCTGCTGAAAATGACCTGCATGCCTTGACTTTCATAACGTTCAGAGGCTGCAGTTATTGTGAAAAGTGGCTGCAACTCTGAAGTTTGACTCACTACACAAGTGGTGTCTAAAAATCACCAGACTCTCTAATGATTGCAATGCTTCCCAGAGAAATACAAGAGAGAATTTAATGTACTGGAGCTTCATTTTCAGCTGGGTCACTTTATGCCCCAAGTCCCCACTGCAGGCATACTGCAGAGAGACCTGCTGGCAGCATGCTTTACACAGCATCCTTGCTCTGGAACCCACTCTGCTTCTCAGTCCATAGCAATCCACATTTGCTAATCTTACAGGCAGCTGGACACCTCCTTTCCAAAGCACTGAGTACATGATGACTCTATGTCTACATATGTGTGCTGGAACTAAAGAAAAAATAACTAATTTAGTTGTTGACTTTAGTTTCTGTGAGATTGTTCAGTGTGCATGGAAAGACTGATAAACTCACAATGATTAATCCAAATTCACTTGCTATGATTTTCTTGTAGAGTGATTTCAATTCTTGGAGGTGTCAGGAAGTTCTGGATGAATTTTATTTTCTCTACACGGTTTTGTTTCCTTCTGAGTAATAATAACCACCTACAAAAGTCTGTTTTGTATGGAGGTGCTTGCTTACAGCAAGTCTCCTAATTTTCAGACGTGGTGATAACCTCTGTCACATGAAGAAACAGGTGTGCAGTTTTTTCCTTTAACCTATTCAGGTAAAATTCTGCATCTATTTAAACATGAATTTTATGTATTCTGTTTCAGTACAAAATTTAATTTGGTAGTCAATATTTAAAAGACAGCATCCCCTGCTATTTACCAGAAAGGACAGAAAGGTCAAATTTATTTGGTCAAAAATATTTTCCTCATGGCTTTTACTCATAAAATGAAAAGGGAAAAGCATGAAAACATAAGGGAAGACCCCAATCTCATCAGTCATAACAAAGAAAAGCAGGGGGAGGGACAAGGAAAGAAATGCAGTTCTCAAACGAAAGACTTGCGGTTGACCTTGGCACAGGACCAAAAGCCCCATCTGCAGGTCCCACACTGCCTTCATGTCACTGAGACCTCAACAGCCCCCAGAGCCGCGAGGTGGGATTTCTGGAGCAACGAGCACTTAGTGAGAGAAGCTGTGCCAGATACCCACCCCGGGGAACCGGCCTCCAGTTCACTGTTTGCCTGAGGATACGTGATTTATCCGAACATCACAGCATCACAGAGGCCTTTTTTCTGTGAACACTTGGACTAAAAATTATGCATTCTGGTCAATACCAGTAAAAGTAAAGGCCCAGCCAATTAGCATGGGAGTGTATACGGGAGGATTTACCAACAGGTCTTCACAAGGGCCTTAAATCATTTAAGTTTTGGGGTACAGCCAGAAAACTAAAACGTGTCCTTAAACGCAAACCAGTGCCTGCTGATGCCTGGGCCTGCTCTTACTTACAATTTTTTGACTCATAGCCCTGTGTTTCAAGCACTGAGCTGCAGGACATGCTGGGTGACCATGGGAGGGACCTCTCTGCCGCTGGTCTTCAGCAGAGCTGCGCTGCTAGTAACCAACTCTCCTGGAGTATTTATTTTGCTAATAATTGAATTTGGGCATGTCGGGCAGCAACTTCAGCGATCACTTCAGACAGTTCCCTAGTTCATTTTTTAGAACTTTCCCAGTTAGTGAAGCACACCATATAATTTAAATGAATTAATCATTCCTATGAATGCTTACTACTATTCCTGTCACATACAATCCCATGCTAATTAGCAGGTATTTTACTGTTAATGATAACGACTAGAATATGTAATTTGCAGTCCATGTGTTGATATTTGCAGCTCCCATTGATTGCAATGTGATGTGTAGGCACTCCATGCTTCCGTATTTAGGCAGCCCAACAGAGGTCACCTAAACTTCACATTGAAGTGCCTAACTTTAGCTTCTGTTTGGAAAGAGCAGCCAGCACTGATAACTTCCCTCCCAGAAATTTTCAATGATCCTGGAGGTTTACATGGGCACGGACCAGTCGTTGGACCCTCACCAGTTTGTAGGATGTGGTATCTTTGGAAAGGCAGCAAATCCAAACCGACCCCGTGTCAGGTATGCAAGACAAGCACATGAACATTTACAGACAGGTAGTGTACTGTGCTGAGGCATACATGATGCAGCTAAAGGAACTCACCCCACTTTTGTGAGAGATCCAACTAGCTTGCACGCTGCTATCCACATCCGTGATTATGCATGTAACTTCAAATTCTTCCCCTTCTTTGAGAAGCTCATAGCTTTTGGACAAGGTAATGACTGGAAGAGCTTTGTGAACTGGAAAACAATTTATAAATGCATTACTTTTCATTACCCTTGGAGTTTCCCAGAGGGGATAAAAATCAACAGTCATTAACTTTCCAATAAAATTTCAGGCCTCCAAGGGGTATTCAAATTTCTTTAACATATTACACAGTTGTTTCTTTACAACAAGCACATTTCAGCTTCAATCTCCCTTCAAATTAAACCTAAGGTTAGACAATACTTGTTAGAGCTTAGCAACTTGCATGAATAAACTTGCAAATGTTGAACCATCAATAAGACAATGGGACATTCCATGACAGTGATTAAAATGTTGCATTCTATAACTGAAAATACAGCCAGGATCGGTCACTGAAGAACCACAGCCTAACATTAATCACAGTTTTTAAATATAAAATAGAATAGCTGACGCAAAGTACTGTCTGAGAGGTCCCTGACTGGCCCTGACAGGAGGTGGACCTCCTTGGAAGCTTCTCTCCCCACGTAGGACAGGTACAGCTCGAGGTGTTCAGCACACCCGTCTCTGAAAGCGCTACAACTATGAAGGTTCAGAGACAGGGGTGGCTGGAGCCAGGACCACTGACAAGTTTGTCACCTGAAAGGTAGGTGGTTACAAGCAGCCAGGATTATGTCTGTTTTGAGAAATACTGCAGACCTACCGCCCTGTGGGCTAGCTGTACCCCTGTTGTGCTTCAGGGTGCCTTTTGACAAGTCAAGTACACTTGAGGACTATGCATCTCTTATCTCAGCAAAGCTCCTCAGCTCTGGTGCTTCCACAGTTTTCTTCTCTGTTTTCTTAATCCTTTCCTTCAAATTTCCTCACTTGTGAGACTCCAGGCTTGCACCAGTAGAAGTTAACCTCCCACTAGGGCTTTTATGCAGGAAGACTCAATTTCAAACTGTGACTGCAGAAAATCAGATAAGGCATTCTAGACTCTCTTCCTGCCTCTGACACAGACTTTGTAGTTGTATTAAGCAAATTATATGAAACTTAGGAAAATGCCATGCTTTTCATCCATTCATATTTTAACAATAATGTTTTCCTCATGTTGCTGCAAGCGGCTATGGAAGGGAACAAAGAACCATGTTTGCTCTCTTCAGATATAAATGCCCACATAAAAATCACACCACAGCAGCACCCAAGAGACATGAGGAAGCCAGTGCAGAATGCATGCTGTGTTCTCACCCACCAGCAACTTCTAAGGAAAAAAAAAAAAAAAGCCATAATGCCCCTCATTGTTTAGAGAAGGGCTGGACATAAGCACTCCCTGTGTTACAGTAACAGGGTGGTGTATGTTTGAGTACGCCTGCACAGTTCCCCGTTTCGTGGACCCTCTTCTGACATTCTGCACCAGAAGTTCAGGCTGTGGGGTTTAAGTGCCATACTTCTGATTACAAAAGCATTGCCTACAAAAGGTGAACACTAAGTCTTCAGCTAAGGAGACAGTGGGGACTGGTACTGATTTAACACTACAGCCCAGTTATTACAACAAATGCCAAGACCGCAGTGCTGCCTTACTGCTGGTGGCCTTCAGCAGATGCTTCCACTCAGTGCACACTTCCTCCCAGATGGAGAACATGGGCAGGCTGCCCAGGTCCTCCAGGCCACCTACTGCTGCCCACCATCAGTGGGCTGCTGGCGATGGATGCCAAGTTAGTGCCTTGTTGTCTGAAGTCACCATTGTATTAAGCAAGTGCAGGCTTCTACCCCATAAAAAATGAAATAGTCCAATATGACAACTTGCATTCTCCTATGTCAGAGACATGACAGTTGTGTCAATCAACTGTTAAGCAGTTTCTTTCTTTGGCCATTCCTGAAAAAACAGTTGGAAAAAAACTTGTTACAGAACAAATACCAGAGACAGCAAGAATGGACTTGAATTTTTTTAGTCAAAGGAGAATGCCAGAGATGCCTGTACTGATTAAACTTTAGTTCTCTTCTCATTAATTAAAATTTCTTATTATTCATTAGAAGACATTAAAATTCTCTCTGTTAGATTCCAAATCACCAGGAAGAAGACTTCTTCAATTTGCCATATCAAACTGCAGACTTCAGTCAGCCCCTGCTGCCAACCCCTTCCTACTGCTGAGGGGGAGCCCAGGACCAAGCAGGGCACACCACCACAAGCATGAAGAAGCAAACACCACCGCGTCACCTCCTTCATGAACGCGAGGGGTGATGCTTGTCATGGCTGATCAACACCCTGCTCCTAACTCCACGTGGGAACCCACTGAATACCCCTCTGAAAGCACAAGGATGACCACTGGGATCCCCACCTCACGCTCCCTGCACAACAGCCGCCACCTCAACATGACACCTTGGCCACATGACAAACACACTTGCAGTGGCAGAAACAATGCAGCAAAAATCTGCACAAGCGAGGGATGGTCCCTTGCTAGGCCTCACTGCAGCCCCAGCATTGCCCACACGTGCTAGAGGAGACACACTCAGCTGGAGCAAGGGATATTTAAGGAGCCCAAGAACTACACGGAGAGTAAACTGTCGTACTTGCCCCTGAGGAAACACTGAGACAGTCTCTCCCTCCGCTTCTCTTGGGAGTATTTATAGAGCAGATTAACAACATGTAGTGCGATAGCAGGCTCCAAACCTTCCACACAAAGCCTGCCTGTATTGCACTGTGCAGCCAGGCATGGGGCTTCTCCTTCCCAAACCCACCTACCACCCTGCCCTATTTCACCTGAAGGTAAAATACAAAGCCTCATCAAGGTGTTTGCAGAGCTAAGTGGTATATTTGGCTGCCCAGCCACATCACATTTCTCATTTGTACTGGGAGCACAGTTGCTGTCGTGAACATCCTCAGTCATAAAGACGGAGACAAATGATGACTCTGTGCTCCCCCAAGATCTGTCTCTCTGCTGAATCCCTCTTCTTCAATGTCATCTATCAGTTCTTCCTGCTGTCACTTATGGGCAACAGGCATGTGAGTCATGCATCCAAATTTCCACTTTGCCTGCACAAGCCTGTCCAAACCTCAGGGCACTGGTTTGTCCCCCAGGTTTAACAGCACAACCCAAGTTTCTTACATGGTGAAAAGAACACCTGGAAATCACCTTAAACAGGAAACATGAGTGATCGTGGCCAAACCTGCCCAGCATAGCCACAACCCATGTCTCACATGACAATCTGTACCCTCACACAATTTGCCCAGAACAAGCTTCCTAAGACCACCAGTTTTCTCTGGGCTGCCTACAGCAGCCAGAGGTGCCACAAAGTAATTCCTTGGTGCAGAAGCACATCTGAGTAGAAGATTCCAAAAGTCTCTAGATGAGCCACCACCTTGAGCCTCCCTGCGGCAAGCTCAGGACACAAGGGAAGACTTCTCTTTGGAGCACTTCCCATCAATTATGTGAAGATGAAAATCAGGTGCTCTACAAGAGGACAAAAATCCTGTGTTACCTGGCCTCACATTCAGGAAGATGTGCTCCGATATTTTCTCGACTCCGTTATGCTTTGCCAAGCACTGGTAGCAGCCCTTGAATGACCTCTGTACATTCTTTATAATGATGCCTTTCTGTGGATTAGGAATGAATGTCATATTTTTGGGGAGAGGTTTGCCATCACATTTTCTCAGGGTGAAATTCAAAACATCTGGATCTGTTAGTGGGCACACCAGCAGGATGTCACTGTCTTCTTTTCCATAGATGAGAGAATCAACAAGGAAGAGCACATTTGGATCTGTAAAGGAACACAAAGACCTGTAAGAACAGCTGACATTGCAGTGGAAACTTCTGATAACCTTAACTCTGCAGCTGGGCACTTATTTCAAAGAATGTTTTACATTTAGCCAGTAAAACTGAGTATTACCCAATTCATGTTTACTAAGAGACATTAACTTTTGTCTTAAAAGAGCAGCACAACAGGAGATGTGCAGTAGCATTCAGTACCAGACACGCTAAAGAATAATGTGCACTAAAAATAAAACCTACTGCTTTTTTTACTGGGGGATGGAATTTTTTTTGTGCTTTGTGTAGTTCCAAACCCCCACCATCCACCCCCAACAACAGTAAACAGATTTTCACAGACCATTAAAAGTAATTTGCTTTTAGCTTGTGGCAGGGCTGTAAGGTTTCATGCCCACAGGAGGATTTTGAAGAAATTTATGAGCAAATGGAACTTGAAAAGCACCAAAATTATGGTTTTCACTTCTGTAAAATACATAATCTAAATGAACACACATTGCTACTAGAGGAAGCACCAAACAATTTCTCTCTCTCTCTCTCCTCCCTGAAACCAGGGGTATTTTTAGCCTCTGTAGAAAAACCTAGGCATAGAAACAGCATATCTGATTGAAAAATCATCATGTAATCTTTCACAAAATAACTTTTCTAGAGCATTTCATCTTGGCCAACCACAGTACACAAACATACAGTAATTTAAACACTTTTACAACCAATGTTGAAGCCCATGATAGCTGATGACCTTGAAACACTAAGAACCTGGCCATTAATAGCAAACACAAAAATAAGGGATGATGTAGTGACACTCTGTAAAAGCATATTTCAGCTCTCATCTGCCCTCTCTACAAGGTAGCATGAATTAGAATTTTAGAAACAGTTTTCTTTCTTCTTGTAAAGTGGCCTTGAACAACTTGAGTCGCTAGAGATCAACAAACTGTGACAACAGAGAAGACTGAGAAGTCTGTTAAGATAACAGATAATATGCATTTGGTTTAAGACAAGACGTATCAGACTGAATATGAAGCATGGGACATTTAGGTAGGCCATTGGGGAATGCTTTCTATCACAAAGGTGGTTCATCACAGAACAGAGAAGTTAGTATCTGGTTTCTAAGTGAGAGTGAGGAGTAGTTTTAGCCCTTTCAATACTGCTGCCCAGGAAGAAACCACAAACTAAAAACATAGAAAACTAAAGCATCAGTCTACACCTAGAAAATGGAGACTACTAACAGAAACGGAAGTGTAAAGTATGTCTGAGCAGACCTAAAGTGTGACATTTTGCACACAGAGATACACAGAGAAATGCTACAAACAGCTGTCACTGCTAAGCTAGGAAACCGCATACTAGAAGTGCTCATCTTAACGTCCCTGGTCTCAGCAAGTTTACGGATTGGTTTCCTCACAGTCCAGTTCCTCCCCAATACAGACAGAGCCAAAGTATCTTCACTGTACAGAAAGCACGGCTCACTATGGAAAAAATCAGAAGTTCTTGAAAATAGAAGAAAGGAACAAAGACCTGTTTCACCAACAGTTGAACCTGCAGGGAAGGCCTTGTTGGGGTAAGCAGAATCACTGAGGAGCTCTCCTCCCATCTTCCATCCCCCTCTGGAAGGGAAACGTCATGGTCAGAAGACATGGAAGGATTTGTTATAGGGAATCCAGGCTCAAACAAGGCTGCTCATAGTCATACTCTTTCCTGCACAGCTTTTCCACCCCAGGTACACATTGCACCTGCCTTCTGGGCATAAGTCAGGTTCCCAGCACAAGTTGTGGAGGTGCTTGTCATTGCTCATGTCTGAAAAGACTTAAGATCAAGGGATTTTTCGCTCTTATAAAAGCATGTGAACTAACTTGATCTTCACTGAACTTACTTGGACAGAGACACAAACTGCTTCTGTAGATACAACACAGGCACTTTCTGCCAAAGCAGAAAGGTGAAAGAGACACACGCCTAAAGTCTGTCAACAACTGCGTCATCCTTGATCATAGGGACACAGAAAACTCATTGTTAGTAGATCAAAATCAGCATAAGAGATAAACACCTGTCACCATTTTATGTGCCACTTGGGACTGTGTAGGACTGAGGCTTTCCTTCTGCAGCTTTACTTTTGGTCCTGTTTTCTCTTCATTCCCAGCTGTACAAGCAGAAACTGTGGGTGCCTGTGGCAACCTCACAAGCAGCTGTGCTCATGGCACTATTTTCAAGGTGTCATAAGATGTCACTGAAACACAGCTATAAAGGCTGCCCTACTAAAGGCCACCCTATTGCAAAATAATGGCCAACATCACAAACATTCATTTTACTGCCAAGAATTTGTCAAAGTGAAGCTTGCACATTTTTCACACAGTTAAGACAAAGAAGTTAACAACACGCTGCATGAGGGCCACACAGCTTCTCTGATGTTTTGGCAATCACGCTCAGCAGGAGGGTTGCCTGCTATCCTAAGGTGAAGGAGTCATTTGAGTAATGGAAGACACAAATGTATCTATGATCACAGCTGTCTCAGATAATTACCATGACCTTCAAGAAAACAGTTGTGGAAGATAAAGTCAACAATGTTTGTCAGGTATGGGTAAAATACATGCCCGATTTCCTTTGGTCATAGTTTCAAAGAAAAACAGAAGGTCAAAAAAAATCATTCATGGTAGCTGCATGGCTATTTGGACAACTCAAGGGCTTTGTACTTTAAGCTGTGTGCCCATCTGATACCTTCCCTTGCGAAAATACTCCTTACTGTGCCGTGCTGGTATCTCCCCACCTTGGAGAACAACCTTGCAGTAATTCCCAAAGGACTGGTAGGGTTCAAGGAAAGCTCTCCAAGGCAACCCCTGCTGGATGCAAGAATGTGGAAGCTGTAGGACTTCTTTACATCAACAGGGAAAAAAAAGATCACCAGAACTATGCAAAGCAGAAGCAAAGCAACTGTCTTCCTTACAAAGGAAAAGGGAATTCCAGGCATGGTAAACTGGCAGCTTGAAGACAGCTGATGAAGCCACAGATTGGGAGTGAACAAAAGAACAGAAGAAATATGAAGAACACACTGGACAAAAAGGAAGAATTAGGAAAATGTGTCAGAGCAGAGGATTTTTTTTCCCTTCTAAGACGTATCTGAGCAGACACAAGGTAGATCAGGAGCTAGAGGCAGAGGAATCATTTGCTGCCTGCTGGCCTAACCCTGAGAGCACAGCCTCAAAAAGCCAAATCCTACAGCTAACTGCCTCAATAAATCAAGAGCTTGGGGTCAAACCTTACATTACTCCATACTGATGGATAGCATTGAATTAAAAAACACATTTCCGTACATGCTGCTTGTTTCCTTATAGTACAACTGACTCACACAACTGATTTAGGTCACTTGACTAGCTTCTACATGAACAGCTCGGGTATAAAATCTCACCACAAAACAACAAGGATGTAAAAAGAAACTCATCCAGAAATTTGCTCTGGTGAAAAAGCCATTGCAAGCAAAGCTGGGATGAAGTTTTCTTTCTGCTGGGCAGGAAAGAAGTTTTCTCCTATTAGTCCCTCGTGCCTCAACTCAAACATGTTTCCTCCTCCAGCATTTATGATCCTGTTATTTTGGGAGTGAGAAAGGATGGGGGAAGCAAAAATAAAGCATTCAGTAATAGTTACCTTTAACAAAAACATAAAAAGAGGTGACAATACTCCCTTTGCTTTTGCATACATATCTGCCTATGTCTCTGACTGTTGCATTTTTGGTGTACCACTCTTTCTCATTGGAACTCTTTGTTTTTGCTGATGGGTCTGAGTTCTGGAAATTCCAAGTCACAGGTCCATCCTTGTTGCACTTCAGCCTTAATTCCTCCCCTTTATTCACAACCAGTGAAGATTCTTCATGAGGCAGTGAACCACCTAAAAAAAAAAAGAACAAAAAAGAAAACCACAAAATACAATGCCTGTCAATACAATGCTCTCTTTTTTTTTTTTTTTCTGCAATGAAATTGTTATTTCTAGTTATATACATGCAGTTAATATTTTTGGGGTTGTTTCTTAAAAGTACTAAGCTGTAATGGCACTCCATGCAAGTATACAGCCACCTTTTGCCTTGCAAGACCCAGTGCACACATAGCAAATAACCACTGCAGATGGAAAATGGCCTTTAAAAAACCATTTGAAACTAGTTTCAGATGCACCAGTTTCTGCAATGGTTTGGCTTTTGAATGGGAACAGACCCAAGCTATTTAAAAATTAAATTCAAGAACATATGAGCCTGATTCTACATGGCAGCACTTTTAATCATTCTTTGTCATTTACTCAGTATGTTGCCAAGAACTAAACTTTCCTTGCTCAACAGTTATCTTTTTTTAACTGTTCTCCCATACTCAGAAGCTCCACTCACACAGTTAGAAACGTCCAGTTTAACAAAAAAGCCACCACCTACTTTCCACACTTTCTTTTCTTGAGGTAGTAATTTGACATTTGTTTAAAAAAAAGAAAAAAGGGGGAAATATCCTTCAAGCTTCCATCCCAACACCATCAAAACCTTGTCACCAAGGCACCAAGCTCCCAGTCACTAACACTGCTCAAAGTGAGCTGTTACTATCTCTTTCACTGAACATACCGTAACACAACTTTTTTAAGCTCTCAGAAAGTAAAGTGGTGTAAAATTACCAGCCTCAATTCACAATTCCCAACCACTTCCCAGCTTACATGGTGTACTTGGAGAAAGAAGCACTTCCAGGCTTCTCTGGCTTCACTATTTACATCAGTCAAGCAGGGGGTTGCTGTGTTAGCATACCCTGATAGGAAAGTCTTAGTGAACATACAAAATGGAGTTCATAGCTGAAAAAGCAGATACATCCTTACTACTAAGTACTTGCTTGAATATCCGAATGATGTACACAAGCACTGAGCCAGTATTTAGTAACAAGCCTTTCCCCTTCTGGAGCTGCTCTTTTGTCCTACAAGCAACCCCTAGCTTGCAATGAGCGCTGTTAGCTAACGTCCCTCTCATGTGAAGCACAGCTGTGCACGACTGTACGACATCCACATCTAGAAGCAGAGTCACGCCACTGAAAACACTGTCTGCATTCAAAAACACTCTCCGGGCTCATTTCTGAGGCTGAATTTCCCTGCCCACACAGAAGACAACAGACGCTTAAGCAAAACAATCGGATAATTAGCTGGGATGAGATTATGTAGTCCAGACTTAATTCACTTATCTCACGGCTTTAGTTGTTCTGAAGGTGCATACTGGAGTGAGACCAGGTCAGGTAACTGCTCCCCTTCCTGACAAACCCAGCAGCTAGGACAGAGTGGGCTGCAAAGGATGGTCAGACCACCTGCACAGTCTAATTACTTTGTTTGTGGTCTGGGTCTTGCAGGGAGCCCTCATTCTCCCCCCACCTTCCTCTGATTAAAATTCATTTATCAGCGCTCAACCCAACAGGCAGTTATTTTTCCAGCGTCACCAGAAATTTTCCACATGAAGCCCACTAACCCTGCATATACATTTCCATGACTGAATGCATAAGCAAGCATCCTAGAAATAATAATTGACAAAAAAAAAAAAAAAAAAGGCAGAAAAAAACACTTCTAATTTCAAACCTGCCACCTCAAACAGCAGGTGTGAGCCTATGGCATGGCAGCTCAACCGAGGAGGGTAAACTCCAGCATCTCAGGAGTGAAGGTCCCAGCCAGCAGTGGCTTGGCACACAGGAGGGCAGAGGCAGACTGAGAGCAGGGCAGAGGCAAGGAGACCTCTGATGTGCAAACCCCTCAGATCAGAGCAAAATAGCAAAAGTGCAGGGCTTTAGACCCACTCTGGCACTAGATTCTCAGGCTGCAGCCATGAGGCAAACACCAATGCTCCCCCTCCTCATACCGTGCAAGTGCAGCCCTCCTCCACAAGCACAAGGGATGATGCTTGCAGAGGCCCAGTGTTACACAGATCCTAATTCCACACGTGAAAGGGGCCAGGGGGAACCCACTGGACACCTCTCTGAAAGCAGAAGGATGACCCCTGGGATCCCCACCTCACACTCCCTGCTCAACAACGGCCACCCCAACGTGACACCTTGGCCACATGGACAGAGACACACTCGCAGCAACAAGAACAACGCAGCAAATGTCTGCATAGGTGAGGGATGCTCCCACACTATGCCTCACTGCAGCCTCAGTATTGCCCACCGTAACACACCATGCAGCCAGGCATGGGGCTTCTCCCCCTTCCCAAACCCACCTACCACCCTGCCCTATTGCACTTGAAGGTGTAAAGTAAGGCTTAACCAGCTGGTTGGCAGAGGTAAGGGACAGACCTGAGGCAACCAGTGCATAGACAAAAATCAAAACCGACCTACAAAAGGAGTGTGGATGTTCTGTCTGAACCATACAGATCACTGTGATGTGCATGAATGCTGAGGGATATTGCAGCAACAAACCCGTCCCCTTCCGAAGACCAGCTCTTTAATCCTAACAATATCCATCACCTCGTGCCCCTCTAACGTGTAGCACAATACAGCACAGTTGGACTTGACATGTGATATCCATGTCTGAGAGAGGGAAACATTTATCAAAAAACATCCCCACTTGCATTCAAAAAAATGAGTCTTCTCATTTCTGAGGCTGAATTTCCCTGCCCACACAGATAACAACAGATACTCAAGAAAAACAATCAGATAATTTGCTGGGACGAGATTATGTAGTCCAGACTTAATTCACTTATCTCATAGCTTTAGTTGTTCTTCAAGTGGATTGAGACCGGGTCAGGTAACTGCTCCCCTTCCTGACAAACCCAGCAGCTAGGACAGAGTGGGCAGAAAAGGATGGTCAAACCACCACAATCTAATTACTTTGTGGTATGGGTTTTGGAGGGAGCCCGTGTCCGCTCCTCATCTCCCTCTGATTTATATTTGCTTACAACCTGAGAGGCAGTCCAACAGCGACTGTTTTTCCAGTGCCACCAGAAATTTTCCACACAAGGTCCACTAATCCTCTACACAAACTCACACGACTGAACACATAAACAAACATCCCAGAAATAGTAACTGCCAGAAAGATTAAGAAATACATCATTTTGTATTTTTATGTGACGTCTGTGACTTTTACCTACTCTTTTTCTTAGCATTCATCATACCCATTCAGGTTAGGAGTTCAAATTGTGTAACATTTATTACAGACCATCTAGCAAGTTGGTGGGTAGTTTTTACAGGTGGTAAACAACACAGCAGAGTATGACTCCATCCAGGGGCACAAGAAATACATTGCATACTGGAGCCAGGGAAAGAAAGGCAAAGATGAAAGGAGCATACTGTGGTACCCCACAAGACAAGCTACAATATTGCCGTTGAAGCCATCCTGCACATTTCAAGACAATGTTTTTATGGTTCCTTTTACACAGCCTAGAATTTCTCTGCCAAACAATTTACAAATTGATTTAATCCCTTGTGCAAGGAATTCCCACAGCCTAAAGTTTACCTGTCACCTTCTGAAACAAGGTGTCTTCAAGAAAAGGAAATATGGCAGCGTAAAGACGACAGGTGGCAAAAGGAAGGACTACCAGATGTGTTTAGTGTTCTACACCCAAATATCTCCTATCCTTAAAAGAGAATTAAAACAGTGCTTAGAAAGAAAGGAATGACTTTGTATCTTCTTTTTGGAGGAATAATTAAATAGCAGAAATCTGAGAGTTTAACCACCAACTTGTAATCCAGTGTATTAATCCCCACAGCATATGTCCATCTGCCATCTCTTGATCTTTTCACAGATTGTTAATGCCTCATGTCTGAGGCTGATCCATTTGTACTGCACCTGAAGTACAAGGGTGCTCTTCCAGGCACGCTGTTGCTCTTGTGCGCTCCAGTAACACCAGCTATAAACATATAACCATAATGGTAACACTAAGAACTTGGCAATCCTGTCTGGGGGCATCCTATATGCTAAGGATGATCTCCAAGTGCAGAACCCCATGGGATGCAGTCTGCTGTCTCCTCCCAGGGCTCCGTGTTGACCCCGAGAAGGACCATGACTTTACCAGTCACCAGTGGGACTATCAACTCTCTAAGCAACAGGATGGAGGAACCCACAGCTAAGTCTCAACAGAAAATTCCCAGGGATAGGTCAGGTACATAGAAAAAATGCATCCTGGCATGCTGATGCTCTCTGCCTACCTCCTTACATCTTGGAAAAGGAGATGGACCACAATTTCATTATTCAGCTGAGTGTCCCAACCTCAGTGATGCCCACCTGACCGCAGGGGCCCCACAGGACAAGGGGAAGAGAGGAAACTCATCCGCTGCTCCCATGGCTCCTGTGGACTAGCAGAGACTGTTGGCCATGGTCCCACCATGAAACATCCAACCCTTCCCATGTGTTCCATAGCCAGAACACCACACTGGGGCTCTGCATGACCCTCTGGAGTTGTCCTCAAGGGCAACCAACAGGTAGGTAATTATGCTAGCAAAATAAATTGGAAAAGGCAAATACTTACTAATTAACAATGTAAAAAACAAACAAACAAAATAAATTGCAAAGCTCAGAATTGGACAGCCCAAGGCTCATTTTGGATGTTCTAAATCTGTGTCCCACAGCCAAAAACAGTCAATTCCACCCTAGCTTCTCCGTGTAAAATAACAAATCTGAATTAAGAACTACAATGCTGGGATCACTTGAGAACAAGGCTGCGTAACTGCAAAAAGAAGCAGAATACATGAATATATTACAAGCAGTTTCCTAAGCCCTAAAAATGGAGGGAGAGGGAGGAAAGAGGGGGAGTACGGCACTGGTGAGTTTTGCATGCAGAAGGAACATCTGGAAAACCAGGCTGGAGGAATTAGAAAATGAAACGGCTCTAGATAATACCAATAGGAAATTCAGGTCAAATTGCAGGGATATGATTAAGGACAGCAGAATGT